CCCACAGCGCCACCACGTCCCTTCCAACCCACAAAGTGACCTCCAAATGAGAACCTTTTCAGATGTGAAGTGGGCACAAGAACAGGACTCAGGATGCCTGGCTCCCATTTTAGATTTTTCAAGCAAGTAGCCATTTAGGTTTTGCACTTAATGGCTATTTTTTCCTTAAATCAAAAGGCCCTTCCCTTCAGCCAATAATGACTGGGCGGGCCAGGATAGTTTGCTCCCTGAGGGAAGAACACCAAAAGGTCACCACCACTCAAGGTCAAGTCATTCTGCACATGAAAGAGAAAATACCACAAGTGCCCCTTTTCCCATCCCCAGCAATGATGGTGGTGGTGGTGATGACAGAATAACGAAGTGAGCAACTAACAATTTGCATCTGGTGATACAGAGCTGTCAGGAGGGAAAGCTTAATTTTCAGCAGGAGACAGTTACATGCAGTAATGGGAGGGCTTCAGGGTAACATAGGCCCAGTTCCAGCAGACAGAAGAACCAAGTCTTCCTTCCTTGATCATGATGAGAATGGGGTTGGGGTGGTTTCCTGCGCCACCATGAGCCGTCGAAGCTTCCCTCCCTCCTCGTTTGCGCGCTGCAGTTCTCTAAACACAGACTGCCATCACTATTCATCATGCCTCAGAAAAAGGACTAATGAATACAGAAGCCCACAAAACTTGTCAACCAGATTCATCACTTTGACTTCCACCACAAATATAGTGCTACGTTCATTGGCCAGAAACCTTCAAAGAAGCAGGCTGCAAGAAGAACCACATTTAGGAAGACAGCAGCCAAAAGGACAGGAACAGATGTATGCAGATATCTTCCAGATGTGCGAAGGGACATGGGAAGCTGCCTTACACAGAGCTGGGCCTTCAGCCCATCTAGCCCACTAGTGTCAACGTTGGCTGGCAGCAAGTTCGGAAGGTTTTTCAGGCAGAACTGAATCCTAGTTTTGCCTGGAGATCAGTGGTGCTTCCTGGCGCCTTTTCATCCTCACCTGGTTTAGCTTCCTAAACGAAATGAGACTAGGTGTGTTTAGGGTGGTCTGAGCTTTTTGGCTCTCACTCACGTCGAAGAGCATGCATTATATTTCCAGCTCTGGTCAGTTTACTCCTTGACTGTAGTGCAAGCAGAGAAACCCGTGGGGCGGGGACAAGTTCCCCGGGGTTTTTTGCAGCAAATTTAAAACAGTGCCCCCAGCTGCCCACATGGGCGACTCGCTCAGCGCCCCGTACTGAACCTAAACCACCTCTCTACCCTTTTCATGCAGTCTAAACATTTCAGAGCAATCAAAGCTGCTGTGTTGCCCCTTTACCCGCATTTTGGGTGAGTTTTACCCTTTCCTGCTGTATGCTGGATCTTGCTGCTTTTTAAAAACCCGTGTCCACTGGCTTTAATATACCACTCTTTTGGAGATCTGGGACACACCTTATTGACAGGCTAGAGGCAGCTCTTGTGAATGCAATGGGGGGGTGTGAGGTGGGAATAGCGTAGAATGAGATTGCATAGGGAGTAGCGTCTTGAGACCTTTTCCCCTGCAGAGGTGGTCCCAAAGGTCAATTCCCTGTATTATCCCTATGTTGTTGTTGTTTAGTCGTTAAGTTGTGTCCGACACCTTGTGACCTCATGGACCAGAGCATGCCAGGCCCTCCTGTCTTCCACTGCCTCCCAGAGATGGGTGAAATTCATGTTGGTAGCTCCAATGACACTGTCCAACTATCTCATCCTGTGTCGTCCCCTTCTCCTCTTGCCTTCACACTTTCCCAACATCAGGGTCTTGTCCAGGGAGTCCTCTCTTCTCATGAGATGGCCAAAGTATTGCAGCCTCAGCTTCAGGATCTGTCCTTCCTGTAAGCACTCAGGGTTGATTTCCTTTAGAATGGATAGGTTTGTTCTCCTTGCAGTCCAGGGGACTCTCAAGAGTCTCCTCCAGCACCACAATTCAAAAGCATCAATTCTTTGGCATTCGGCTTTCTTTATGGTCCAGCTCTCACTTCCATACATCACTACAGGAAAAACCATAGCTTTGACTATGTGGCTTTTTCGGCAAGGTGATGTCTCTGCTTTTTAAGATGCT